GGGACAGCACCGGGACCCCTCTGGGGACAGCACTGGGACCCCTGGGACAGCACTGGGACCCCTGGGACAGCACTGAGCCCTCCCAGTCCCTGCTGACCCTTGATCCCCCACTGACCCCCCAGTGCCCTGCTGACCCCTGAGTCCCCACTGCCCTCCCAGTCCATCCCTGCCCCCTCCCAGTTGCCCCAGTCCCCCCAGTCCATCACAGTGCCCGCTGACCATGCTGTCCCCAGTACCCCACAGACCATCCCTGACCCCCCCAGTGCCCCCAGTCCATCCCAGTACCCCCTGTCCCCGCTTACTGTGCTGTCCCCAGTCCATCCCAGTCCCTCCAGTCCCCCCAGTCCATCCCAGTCCCTCCAATGCCCTGCAGTCCCCACTGACTGTGCTGTCCCCAGTCCCCCCCAGTCCATGCCAGTCCCCCCAGTCCCCGCTGACCACGCTGTCCCCAGGACCGGCTGAGCCGCTGCTCGCTGCAGTGCTCGGACCAGGCCAAGGACGCTCTGGACTCGGGGGGCTCGGAGCCGCGCGTGCGGGGCCAGCTGGACGCGTGCCTGGCCACCTGCGGGGACCAGCACCTGCGCCTCGTGCCCGCCATGGCCAAGAAGATGCGGGACGGGCTGGCCAGCATCCAGCAGTGACACCGGGGACACCCCCGGGGACATCCCCGGGGACACCCCCGCGAGCTCATTAAAGGCCAGGTGGCACCTCCCAAAAAACGCGGGTGCTGCGGGGGGAACTGGGGGGCACTGGGGGTGATGGGGTGGGTGATGGGGGCACTGGGATGGTAATGGGAGGCAATAGAGGGGTGATGGGGGGGCACTGAGGGAACCGGGGGGCACTGGGGGTGGTGGGGAAGAATAGGGGAATGATGGAGGGCACTGGGATGGTAATGGGGGGCAATGGAGGGGCTCTGGGGGGGTGATGGGGGCACTGGGAAGGTGATGGAAGGCCCTCTGGGGGGTGATGGAGATGAGGGGGGCACTGAGAGGGTGATGGGAGGCTATGGGGATGATGGGGTGGGCAGCGAGGGGACACTGCAGGTAACGAGGGGCATTGGGAGGTGGTGCTTGGGCACAGTGTGGGGAGCCCTGTGTGGGTGCAGATGTGGGGTGACCCAGGTGCGTGCTGTGCAAGGCTTGGGGTGTCCCCAGTGTGTGTGTGCCAGGGACAGGGTGACCCTGGTACGAGTGCAGAGTGGTGACCCCGGGCCATGCACACCTACACTCACACACACACACACATTCAAACACACACAGGGACACACGTGTGCACCTGGACATTCGGACAGGTGGGCGCAAACACACACATGTGCACCTGGACATTCGGACAGGTGGGCGCACCACAACACGTGCACGCACGCCCCGTTCACTATGGCGGCCATGCTGCCGTATCTCCCCCTGTAGCCGTGCACTTCCCCCCACCGCCCCCTGCTTTCCCCCCCACCGCCCCGCTACCTTCCCCTGTGTGCGCCGCTACTCGGGTGAGTGCGGTAGCGCGCCGCGGCCCGCCATTGGCTGCCGGGGCGGTGCGCTGGGAAGCGGCGGGAAGGCGCGCGCTGCTGCCATTGGCTGGCGCGGGAATACGCACGGCGTGCTGACGTCAGAGCGCGGCGTGCGGCAGAGACGGGCCGGGGGCTGTGGGCGCCATGAGCAAAGCGCACCCGCCCGAGCTGAAAAAGTGGGTCTGGAGGCGCCGGGGCTGGACCAGGGCTAGGCCGGGGCTGGGCTGGGCCGGGGGGCGAGGGGGGCCGGCGGGGGTGTGGGGGGAAGCGGACACCGGCACGGCGCCGTCCGCCGCTTGCCGGTGTCCCGGCGTGCACCGCGGGGCCCCGGTGTCATGGCGGCGGGGGAGAGGGGCGGTTCGCCGCGGTATCATGAGGGGATGATGGCGGGGAGGGTCTCTTTCCCCGTCCCCACCCGCCGGTGCTGACCCGGTGCCATCTCGTTGCAGGTTCATGGACAAGAAGCTGTCGTGTGAGTTCTGGAACTGATCCCACCCCGATCCCCCTCGCGGTGCCCGGGGCCTCCCGCCCGCCCCGATCCCCTTCGCCTCCCGCAACAATGCCCGGTTATGGGGACCCTCCTCAGCCCCGCTTCCCCCTCATGGCCCCCTATGGGGGGATTCCTGAGCCCCTCCCCCGGTTTTGGGGACCCCCGCCCACCCCTCATGGTGCCCAGGGAGGGGGTCCCGGCCTGCAGCAGGCCCTGACTGATTTCAGGCCTCACAGCTCAATAAATAAAATTCTAATTCATTCATTGAAACCATAATTCATTAATTTAACTATAATATGAATTGAAAATTCGTTCTTTTCCCTTTTCCTTACGCATTAATGCGTTGTGCTTAATCCTTCCATCCATCCACCCCCCCCCGTGGGTCCCACTCCTTCCAGGCCGCAGATTTGGGGGAAATCCCAGCGGTTTTGGGGTTCTCCATCCCTAACACGCCCGGTTCCCTGCAGTGAAGCTGAACGGCGGCCGGCACGTGCAGGGAATCCTGCGGGGCTTCGACCCCTTCATGAACCTGGTGATCGACGAGTGCGTGGAGATGGCACCGGG